ATTAATTATACTATTAGTTATTATATAATATATTAGTATACTCTAATATATGTGTTAAGGCTTATAGAGCCGGGTTTGTGTCCCCAATTCCCTTTAGCATGGGTTTATCCACTCCAGCCTAATCAACCTATCAAGAATCTCACCCTTAAAGAGACTGACTCTCCCCCTCCCAGTGGTCACTGGTTGCCAACAGTTCCTTAGGTAGGGCTGGGGTTTCCTACCCACTTCCCCATGTCTATGCTGGGATCTGTTTTGCTTAAGGTAGCTGATAATTTTTATTTTGTGTTTTAACTGGAACAATAATAATAATTTATTATATAATAAATCGTGCAACATAATTAATGGTTTGGGCTTTGGTGATAGGAATTGTGGGTTTGCTTCCCAGCTCAGCCACTACTTTGTATGGTTTTAGGAAAAACTCCTTAGAAACCCAAGATTTTCTTACCTCATAGAGCTGCTGTGAGTAAGATGCTAAATAATGGGGGTGAAGGGCCTAGTGCCCTTCATGGCAAACAGCACACCCAGTGTTCTCTTTTTGTCTTTGGTATTTTAATACAAGATCTCAGTGTGTATGCCAGACTGCCCTTGAACTTACCATCTTCTTGTTTTGGCCTCCAGAGAGCTGAGATTTCCTAGTACATGTTCAAATGGTTTTATCATATATAAAATCATATATTTTTCCTACTTTGAGTCTCATTATAATACAACCATGTGAAGAACAAGGCAATAATTTCAGTTCCCATTTTATGTATAAGGAGCAGGAGCTTTGGCAGGAACTTGTTCACTTATTCTTTATATAAGACCATTACTCACCCCTATCTCAATACAAGAAAAGCCACTTGTACAAATCCCTCTTAGTTTTTAGGCTTACTTTGGGAAGCCAAAATACCTGATATAAACCCTTTCAGTCCTTAGTACTTATTTCCTCAGTTTTAGACAAAAGGTGACATACAGCTACAAAATTTGCTTTACATTGTGAAAGAAAAAATATAAAAACAATTTTTGTAGCTTGTTTAGAAACTCGATAAAATAAGCACACCTAAGTACACATAGTGGCAAAAATGTTCCAATAAACATTTATCCTGTTTAAAAAATAAATTTATTATGCTGTGAAATACGATATATGTGTATGTCGGAATTAGATAGATGGGTAGATAGGCAGATGTGAATGTAAAGTCTGGCTACAAGGCAAAATTCAGCTATGAAGTCAAATTCAGAGTTTCTGTTGAATTCTTACTGAGAGGGGAGAAAAAGCGTTTTGGGTCTATGTGTTCCAACCCTCCTAGTGGAGCTGATGAGGGACGTGGTGCCTGTGCAGAGGGTACACATCTGGGGGGCTCTGAGGCTGCCTCAGTAGAATAAGATAACAAATTCTTTCATTACAAGATGGGGTGACTTATCTAATTGAAATACTGGCCAGTTGAAACTCCCTTACGTGCAGGAAATTACTTACTCCATGTTATACAGCCTCTAAATCCTATTCTACTATCACCACCCCATCACAAGGGCAACTGCTTTCCTCTTCTGTATGTCTTCTCCCCCAGCAAACCTTTTTCCTTTGGGCACTTTTGAAACATCCATCCTTCGGCGGCTATAGGGAAGCTTAGGGGCTGGAAAGCAGGCCTTAAAAGGATGTCCAAAGCCATCACAAAATGCTGTGTGACAATGACAGGCCAACGTGGCAGAACTCACCTGCGGAAGACACTGACTGGCCTTTCTGGTTATCACACCCTTCTCCATATTTCTAGTTGAAACATAATTCTACTAGTTTGAGAATGGAGAATGTAGCCGGGAAAGCGATTACTGTACTGGCTGTGTTCCTTAGCACATTATTTTACTCACCAAATGAGTTGGAAAATGAGAAATATGGGGGAAGCACATGAAGTTATGTTGTGACATACCAGTAACTTTCAAATTATTTACTGATTAGAATGTCAAGTAGACACTTACTGTGCCATTAAATTCCGGATTCTACTGGCAAAAAGAACAGGATCACTTTTTTCTTCATCACTTGGAACTTGAACAGGCATAAACTGAAAGGCAAACATATTTTTCATAGTACTCCTTAGGCCTAAGACATTAAATGCTAACTAAATTAAACTATCAATCAATCAGTTTCAACCTTTGTCTTTCTAGAACACAGGTTGCATGTCATGGAAGGACATTGGGCTTGGACTCAGGACACACAAGTCTGGCAGTGTTCACTTTCCTAAACTGTCTCCCCAACTCTGAAAAGAGGGCTACGGTCAGTCACTGGCCTCACTGTGACACTGGAGTTTATAAAGCAGCTGCTCCTAACATCTTATCCTGATGTTCTTCATTCCCAGTTTATATGAAAATGTTCTTTTTTAAAAATATATATATTTTACAGTATTATCTGTCCCATCCATCCCATCAACCATACTTTTATTTTTGTTTGAAGACTGTTTTGTTATTTTTCCTACTTCAAAAAATTAAAACTTCATGGTAACTGATTGCTGCTAGATGAGAAAGAGCTGATCTTCCTAAAACAAGGGACTCTAGATAGGGTGAGTAGACTCAGCAGAGGGACCTGCACAGGGGAACGGCTGGGGGCACTGACAACAAGGTGGACAGTAACAGGGATGACAATATATGGGCTCCAGTGGTAGGGGGAGGCTATGGGAAGGTGCCATTTGTGATGTAGGTATAAAGAGGAATAAGATTTTTGGGGATGTTCCTTATGAAAATCACACAAAAGAAATCAATAATTTTAAATAATGAAAAAAAAGAAGCAGAGAGAGCCAACATGAAGAAAAAATTAAAACTTCAAAATTGGCTTTGTAGCTTTGTTTATTATCATTTTTGTTTTATCATTTTTGGCTTTTCTTTTTTCTCTACCTGATACTGTGTGATGCCTGATTTGTACAGTCCTTATTTTTTTTCCATTTGCCTGTGTTTATATGTATGAAGTTTATGTGTGCATGCATATGTGAATACGTGTGCACGTATGTGCGTGCATGTAGAGGCCAAAGGTCAATGTCAGGGTGTCTTCCTCTACTGCTCTCCACCATATATATTGGAGACAGGGTCCCTCACTGAACCCAGAGCTCACTGGCTGGCTACCCTGGCCAGTGAGCTCTGGGATCTTTCTGTCTCTGTCCCCACACCCCAGCACTAGGGTTACAGATGTACGCCACCACACTCAGCCTTAACATGGGTGCTAGGAATCCAAACTCAGGTCCTCATACTGTGCAGCAGTCACTCTACTGACTAAGCCATCTCCCCAGCCCGTCCTTTATGCTTATGGTTTTCTAAGATCAAGGGTTTTTTTCTCTAATATGAATGAGTGTTATGCCTGCATGTATGTAAGTGCACCCTTGATATACAGTGTCCATGGAGGCCAGAAGAAAATAGGATCCTCTGGAACTGGAATTATGGACAGCTGTTAGCCACCATGAGGGCATTGGAATTCAAACTCAGATCTGCACAAGCAGCCGGTGCTCTTAACCACTGAGCCATCTCCAGTCCCCTAACATCAAGTTTTTGTTGCCATATTCAAGTTATATAATTTTTGTTAGCACTTAAATATTCCAGGAATGATTATTAGGACCCTTCTTCTATAAAGAAGATCCACATTTGAATAGGCTAGACCAACACATAATAACCTCATATACTAAGAACCATCTCACCTCTTTTACTTCAATTACAGACGAGGTTTAAAAACTTAACTCACCTACCCAGTGTTATCAAAGTCACGTGGCCCAGATTCATCTCAGGTTTGTCAGACTTTATTTTCTCCTATTAGACCATTCTTCCTACATCATCAGAGCAAGGAGTAGGAAATGATCAATTCTGCCAGGGGGCAAAGAAATGTAGTCAAAGCAGGAGGTGATCGCTAGGGAGAAGGTACACGCAGAAAAGCTAACGTGGTAGAGAATGCTCTGCAGAAAGAACAATACTTGACCATGCCTTTTAACGGGTAAGCATCATTTCTCCAGTACTGATTTACTGAAATACACCTGTGAACCAGAAACCACGCTCCCAGTTCCACAGGCATCACTGTATTTCATTAATTCCTGTTTCTATCATAATGGATTAGAATTTACAAAGATTGAAGTAGCTGCTCAAAGTATCATAACTCAAGTCCATTCAAGAAATATTGTTGGACTACAGAGGTATCTCATGTGCCAGGCAGGGCACTAAGCCCTGAAGGTTTAGCACTGAATCCCTTGCCCCCAGGAAGCTTTCCATGCAGTGGGGTAGGAATCCATCATCTAATGGTAAATCAACAAATCACAGCTACCTACTCTATACTGGGCACTTTACAGACTTTATAACCAGCTGCCTCAATTCTCTGTCCACCATTTCCACTTAAGATGAAAATGGGCCTTTAAGAAATTAAACAGTAGAGTCAAGAACACACATAAAAGGCAGGGCTAAGACTTGAAGGAAGGAGATTTGTACAAAGAAATACATTTTTTTTTCAAATGGATCCATATTCAAATATTGTTAAGCATGTTCAAAATCTTAGGGCACCGGAGACTCAGATATTTAAGCAAAGCGGGATGACAGGGTGAGAGCCCCGTGTCTGAGCAGTGATGTTAGTATAGGGTGCCAAAGATATACCAAAGAGGAAGAGGCTGTGAACAGAAGAGCTGAGGATTCTTCAGTGGTCCCTGGAGACACCAGGAGACCTGGACTAGGAGGAGTGAGAATGGAGCACTCCTGGGAAGTGTGGGACATTTTTAAGATAAATGTGCAGGACTTACAGAATAGGATGTCTTTTCATTTCTCCCACTTCTAAGTTCTTCTAGAAAGTAATGGCACACTGGAGAAAGAGAATTTGGCTGTGGCTCTGATAAGTGTTCTAGGAAAAGGCATTTAGCTTTTATGGGCTTCTGGTCCTTCTGTCAAAAGAGTAACTTTGACTCCATAATCTCTAAGGCCCTTTCTAATTGGAAGTCGCTACTGAACACTGTCTTTAAAGTGGAAAAATAAAGCAAGCCACCAGAGGTCCCCACATCACTTAAATAACCAGAAAACCAAACTGCAAATTAGTATTACTAAAACTTCCCTCCATCCTAATCTAGTAAAATGTATTATAGTTTCACAGTACAAGGTTCAAAGAAGAAGACAATTGGTTAAAATCGGTGTTTATAAAATTTCTAACCAAACAACATAAGGAAGCAAAGTTTTGAATCCCCAAGTCATTTGATTAAAAAAAAAAAAGTTCATTTTCAATCACTTGATTTATAAGTCATAAAAGCACATACTAAAAACACTTAAAAATAAATTGCCTCTATACTGTTATCCAACATAGTATAACTACAGGTTTAGTTTCTACTAGTGCTGGTAACATGCCATAAAATGACTTTAATAACTATCAACTAGCAACTATGTGCTCTTTACCCTGAGTCATCTCTCTATCCTCTCCAGTGTAAATTCTAATAAAATTACCTTTCCTAAGTATGACCTGGAAATTATCATATTGGAATGGCATTTTGTTCTTGAGGAAATACATTCTACATAGTACAATGTAATTAAAAACCTGGATTTGACACTCTTTGGTCTTAGAGGCAACTTAATATAAAAATTTTTAAGATTTATCTTATTTTTAATTATGTGTATGTTGGGGAGGGGTATTTACATGTGTGTGAAGGTACCCACAGAGGCCAGAAGAGGATGTCTGATCCCCTGCAATTGGAATTACAGGTAGTTGTGAACTGCACTACCACATGGTGCTGGGAACCAAACTCAGGTCCTCTGCAAGAGCAGTGTGTGCTCCTTACCCCGAGTCATCTCTCTATCCTCTCAATGTAAATTCTAATAAAATCAGCTTTCCTAACGAAGGACCTGGCAATCTATGCCAGTATTTCTACTTTGTGTAGTTATTCAAGGCTCATAGCATGAAGACATCCTTTCGTTAGAAGAACAGATCAAAGAAAAAAGCATGATCTATCGAGCTCCCCAAATACACTGCACCCAGCAGGAACTTTAAGACCTCACTTCCCCTTTCTGTTCTACCTTCTTGTGGACCCACGTGCACTTATCCTCGGTACTCACTCAATTCCCCTCACTATCCATGAGCAGTTAGTTCTTCCCTAATCTGATCTTGCATAGGATGTGACGATTTAATAGTCACATCAGGACCTAACTCATCCCCACATCTAGTGCCTCTGGCAACATTTGCCTGTCCATCTACACTGGACCTGTGAGTCAGACACCTCCATACAGCCTTTGTGTCACCTGAAATCCCCCATGTCCGCCTCACCTACAGTGCCTACCACAAATTCTTAGTCACCCTTTAGATTCTGCCTTCCCACTCCTGTGAGAGACCATGGAGGGCTGCTAAAGGAAGTTGTACAGACCCCCATGCTTTCAAGCTGCAGTTACACTTTAATCTCACTCTGCCTTGGCCAATGATGCTGTACTTTGAACTCCAAAAAAAAAGACAGTCTATGGGAACCTTTGTCCCTGGTTCCCCCGAACCTCAGACCAGTTCTATGACTCCATTTCCCTCCCTACCTTAAATATTCTCCAATTTTCACCATACTTTACATTGCATAACAGCCCGTCTCTGCTAAAAAGATTAGCTGTCACGTTTCCCGACTAACCCTTTGCTTGTGCTTTTTAACTCGATGGCACCACTTCTTCTTGGGTTATATAGAGGAAAAGCTACCTATTAACTGGTGACAGTCCTTTACACCAGCGCTGAGCACCAGTGAAGCTAGGCTGCTTGTTGTTTCTTGACCATATTAAGCACATTTTCTTTCTACTAACGATTGAGGAAGAAGAGGAGGTGGAATAAACTTCAAGCCCATCACTATGATGATTTTTCCCCTTAGAGAAAAAAGCATTTTAAATCAGTCCTAACAATTGCGCAACTACAGTTATTATGATTTCCTTATTAAATCTTCAGGGAGAAAATGCAAAGAAGGAAGATATTTACAAACAACACTTGCTGCTTCCCTCCCAAAGAAAAGTGCCAGATGAAGTGTGAAGTAAACGTTAACACTTAATGGACACTTACCACATAAGTAGCCTTGTTAGATCTTCACCACCAGACAAAAAGGTGTGATTATCCCCATTTGCCAAGGAGAATACGGGCTTAGAGAAGTTTAAGTGATTTTTTATGAACATACATAGGCAGGTAGTAAAAAACAGAGAAAAAAAATCTAGCTAAATCTTTTCATAGCACTCCATTTCTCTATGAATCCTTGCAAATGTCAGAACTTTACCAACTTCCAGAACAAAGTAGATTTGTTAGAACAAGCATACATGCGGTTGGTATGCATGTGTGTGTACTTGTGAGATGGGAGTTTTCTAAAAGGCCTGTGTTCAATTCAAAAGTATAAGTTTTAAATGTTTGGATATTGAAACAAACTATGCAACTATACAGGCATTATGCAACATAACATTTTGTTTAAAAATATCATCAACATAGCTGATGATTATATGGTTATAATGGATCTGTTTACATATGCTTAGGTGTACAGTCACTGGATCATAACCGCCTACAGGACTCAACACAGTAATGTGCTGAACAGGCATATGGCCTAGAAGTGACAGTTCTGCCACACAGTGTAGATGGCCTCCCTGTCTGGCAGGCTCGTCCCTCTAATTAGTGCATTCTCTAATGGCTACATCATGAGGAAATTGCCTAACAACGCACTTCTCTGATCATATCCTGGTTGAATTACTGTATTTCAACCTTCCCTAAGCAACGGGCGCTTTGGAGAACTAAAGGTGCTGTGTGTGTGCAGGTGTTGGTCATAACACTAATTATTAATAACAGCCCTTTCTCAAAACAGATATTCTTTTAAATTAAAAATATCCATCTTTAATACCAAAGACAATGAATTGCCTTCTATAAAGTATTTGAGGCCTAATGTTAACTACTCTAAAAATCACTATAAGCTTTGTAAAGGAATTTTCTTAAAGCAATACATATCTATATGCCTACAGATTAATACTTTTTCTGTATCTATAACTTACTAGATGGCTCCTAAGTCAATATGCTTTGAATGCATACTGTCCATTGCGAAGGAATCTGGACAGTCAATACGAAAGTCATGTTCCCATTCATAAACTAGCTACCCATGTAGTCTGATTCAGCATGAATTCTGTCATGAAATAAACTACCAGGCCTTTAATTTTTATAATATTCTGTGGTATCTCTTATCAGCTATCACATTCCCTATGTCCCTAAACTTTATGTTTATCAAGGCATATTTATGAAGTAGTTAACTGGTAAATGTAAGCACTAGAAGACTCTTTTGGGGGGGTCTGTTTTTGAGATAGGGTCTCCCTGTAGCCCCAGCTGGCCTGGAACTATGTAGATTGTCCTTGAACTCACAGAGAGCTGTCTGCCTCTGCCTCCTGAGTACTGGGATTAAAGGTGTGTGCCACCATGCTGGGCTAGAAGACACTTTCTAAACAGACCACATTATCATTCAAAAAATAACTTCAGTAGAACTCTCTGTAGACGCACACATCATCATTGCTCAAGGATGCCAGAGACAAACTCCACAGGCATGAAGCTTGCATCCTACATTCGGCATACTGAAATGTCCTATAACTCACAAAACTAAGAGCATCTAAATTACTTTAATAACTCACTGAAAGCTGAGTGTGGTGGCTCACGCCTGCAATCCCAACACTCAGGAAGCTGAAGGAAGAGGGCTGCTGTGAGTTCAAAGCCAGCCTGGGCTACCTAGTTCAAGATTAGCCTGGGATATAGCATAAGATTCCCTATTTTAAGAAACTAATAATTGCAGCTGGAGAGGCGGCTCAGCAGCTGGGAGCACTGGCTGCTCTTGCGGAGGACCTGGGTTTGGTTCCCATCAACTACACGGCAGGTAACAATCATCTCTAACTCCAGGTCCAGGGGACCTGCTGCCCTCTTCTGACCTCCACAGGCATTGCATGACACAGATGCACTTACATACAAGCAGGCAATACATTCACACACACAAAATAAAAATAATAAATAAAACACTTTTAAAAAGAAACTAATGATAATCATAATAATCTACTCAAAGTTCACTTTTAAAATGTAAAACTAATACCATTTTCTGAATAATAAGTCTTGAATTAGGCTTACTTAATGTTGGAGAAGTTCTAAAAGCATTTCCACAACAATAATCAAAATTTCCACCAATTTTAAATAAAATTGATTAAATAAAGCTTTAAACAAAAAGAGAGAGCTGCTTCTGAGCTACCAGGACACCTGCAATTAGAGGAACAAAATAAACTGAGACCACAGCCAGGCTCAATGCGAGGCAGCTCAAGCTCAGCCATAGAACTTACAGTTAAAAAGTCTGGGCCTCAGAGGCAAGGACTGGAGTTTTAGAGACTGTTGCAGGATATGGCCATCTTTAAGGCCTGGGAGACTGCGGGGAGGCACTTCTTTGTTATAGTCAAATAGGGGAGAACTAAAAATTCAATAGATCCAGGTGTGGTGGCATACATCTTTAGTCTCAGAGGCTAAGACAGGAAGATTGCAAGTTCGAGGCCAACCTAGGCTACTTACTGATACTTGATCTTAAAATAAAATCAAAAGGGCTAGGGATAAAATTCAGTGCTAGAACGCTTTCCTCGCATGTGTGAAGCCCTGGGTTAAATCCCGGTACCATAAAATAAAGCAAAAATCAGTTAGGAGATACATTTGTGAAAGATAGAATCATAAATCTAAAATAAATGTAATAAAATTAGAGTACTAAACTCAGAGTTCATAAATTCCAGTTCTGCACCACAATTCAAATACACGAATTCCCTACGGATTCAACTATTTTCAGCAGACTGAAAGTCACTTTGTTTGTGAAGTTACAGAACAAAGAATACATTCTTCCCTTTACCAGACGGAGAATGCAAATGCTGTAATTTTTTTTTTAAAGAAAGAAAGTCATGGCATGGAAAGGAAATGTGGTAATAGCAGTCAGGGCACAAAATGAGGAACTTACATACCCCTGTTGTAATGCAGCTTCGTCCCTCACACATACGCCAAACAAGGAAAGTACAGTTCCGTGCGCATTTCCACATCTATTGCTAGATCTTATTTTAGCTGGAAAAGGGTCAATTTAGAGGAAATGCTGGTTGGTTTGAGTGTGTGTGTGCATGTGTGTGTGCCTGTTTGCATGTGTGTGCGTGCGTGTGTGTGTGTGTGTGTGTGTGTATATATGTCTTCTAAATTTGCAGAGGTGATAGTAAAGTTGTTTTAAGTATAGATTAGTTGTTGTAGGAAAAGAAAATAGAGCTAGACTATCAAACAGTTTACTAAAGAAAGAAGAGTACTTGGGAATAATACGATGAAGTTTCCAGAAATGTACTCCATGACTACTGGTTCTAGGAGATATACAGAGAAAACCAGAGTTTAGCTATCAGACAGTTCAAACGCACTGAGAAGCATTGAGATAAGAACCCTGAATCACTGTGCTTGTATGGGTATTTTCTCAACTTTTCAGGATACAGATTAGACATTTTTAATCTTTTTCCCTAGAAACAACCAAGTATAATCCCAAGAGGTAGAGTTGTGCTGTATTTTATGATCATGCTGACAGATACTAAACTGGTTTTAAAAGTGGGCGTGTGTACGATAAAACTAATGGAAAGATTATCTATGAGGGGTACTCTGAAAGATGCTTGTTACTTGGAACCCTTATTTGGGGGCTTAAAAGTCTGGCTCAGATTTTCAAAATTTCAATGTATTCCTTCATTCTTCACCTGCCCCTGCAACTCAAAGACTGTCCTGTGAATGGTGAGCCACTTCCTCAGGCTTCCCAAGTATAGGAGGATTCTGTAAATGAAGGCATCTAACCTCAGTGTCTCTTGCCCAAGTCCCAAGTATTACTCTCAGTATTCATAGAACCAGGTCTTCAAGGAAGCTGGCATTACCAACTACCATCTGCTCCTTTTCTTGAGGCGAAGTCTTTTGAGACAGGGTCTCCTATAGCCCCAGCTGGCCTAGAACACACTATGTAGACCAGGCTGGCTTTGATCTCATCGAGATCCTCCTGCCTCTACCTCCCAAGTGCTGGGATTAAAGCCATGTGCCACCACATCTGGCTCCATTTGCTCCTTTTGTCAGGTGTAAAAATGACACAAAGCTGGGGCTGGAGAGATGGCTCAGTGGTTAAGAGCACTGACTGATCTTACAAAGGACCTGGGTTCGATTCCCAGCACCCACATGGCAGTTAACAACCATCTGTAACTCCAGTTCCAGAGGAATCTAGCACCTTCTTCTGACCTCTGCAGGCATTGCAAGACACAGGTACACTTACACACATGCAGGCAAAACACTCATACATATAAAATAAAAATAAATAAAATATTTTTAAATGCCACACAGCTTGCATGGGTCAGCATTAAAAAGAGTAAGGATCTGCTTTCTTAAAGGTTAAAAACTCATTCAATTTTATGTCTTACAGGGTTTATACTGAGTTCAATATTGTATAACTGTATTAATTCAATCATGAACTGAAAAATTTAATAGCCACTTTAAAGGTGAAATGAAATGCTTCTTCTAAAAAACAAAAATAAATAAAATTTAAAAAAAACAAGAGTAAGGATCTGGCCTGACAGGGTGACTGACATACTGGAAGTTCCAAGAAGTTAGATGTGTTTCTTAACATGATTCCATGGGCTAAATCTGACAGCATGGATTTTAAAAGACACTTTATAAAACACCCGGGCTTCTTTTAACTACAGTGGCCCGTTACATCTGTCTTTCTAAGCTAGAAATTCAAAATTAAAGAAAAGGTTGCATCTTAAGTTCCAAGTTACGTGTGAATGACTTACCTCAATTTCTACCTTTGTGAAGAGCTGACAGAAAGTAAGTACACAAAGCTGGATGCTGCAAAAGGAAAAGAGAAGGCTATTCTTCCACGGCCATGTTAAGTATCGCTAAAATTACTCAACCCTCACTTTACATGCTGGCACCCCACATCACAATTAACATGGATTTTGACTCATAAATGTTTCGGTTCTAATGCTCCTCTGAGGTAGGCAACTCTTCTTGCTACACAAGGATTAAATCACCGACTGCAGTTACTGCATTGAATCGTGACTCCAAGCCACAGCTCAATAGACTAAACTCCAAACCTGCACTTCCGTTGACCGGTCCAAGTGCCTTAGAAAGAACCCAAAGTCAATATGAAGGTATGTAAATGTATTTATAAGAAAGTTCCTAAGTGAACACTGTATTTCTAAACTCTTCTGCTAAAATTTTTTTTTAAATCAGTGAGCTTTTCCTTAAAATGAGAATCTTTATTGACATTGTCTTGGTAATAAAGGTCTGAGTCATATGGAAATGTTCTGAAAACTTTCTGATTTTATTGTAAATCTAGACAAAGGGTTTCATTAAAGTGGTTAACCGATCCACAAAACATAGTTTTTGAAACAGATGCCCCTGACTTGAAGCTTTCCAGTCTGTATTTAGATTCTGGATAAGATTTCTGTGGGATTTTCAGTTTAACCTCTTTAGACAGTTGACCCAGAAATCAGGCAGAGTGGATTAGACCATATGTCTAAGAAAACAACTAGTCAAACTTTTTTTTTCTCATTAAGAAATTAAAGAATGATATATCTGTAAAACTTCTTTCTTCTGAAAGGACTTACTTAACTTGGGAATTTTAACAAGGAATATTGGTCACTGATGGCTTCCAGGGAAGGGCACTCAATGTCTTCAGCTGTGTAGCCACTGGAAGACTACCAGGCTCCAGTGGATAGTTCTCAGTCCATGATTACACAGACAGCCCTGGCTAATATCAGTGAATTACAAAACAAAAAGACAGGCATGTGGGAAGGGGGCCAGGGAGGAGAAGGGGGGTTGACAAGCGGTGGGGGAGATAAAAGAGAGGGTGAGGAGGGGAAAGCAGTCAGATACATGGTACCCGTGAAGGATGGTTGAAAAACAAATTTAATAAACGTTTTATAAAAAAGAAGGAATTTGGGAAGTAAATTTAGAATTGCAATACTTCATTGTAAAATATTAATGGGGTAATTTCACACTTTTCATCTGAAAGAGAAAAATATCTTTTACTATGTATAGCATCTAAGCCAAGTCAGTCCATCTACTCCATCTAGAGTCAAGTAAATTGTTCTTCCATTATGTACATAAAGCATTGGATTTCAAGTATTTGAAGATACATAATTTGTTCTTAAAAGCATGTCCCAACCCTCAGTGAAGTTTCTCTTTGCAGTAGATGATGGCTAACAGAGACCTATAACTAGTCAATGAGCAGAGAGTAAGAGACCATGGAGTGTTCAGCCCTACATGGGACATTTATATCACACCCCTCCACCAAAGGCTCAGGGATCATTCTGGAAGAGGGCTTAGAAAGACTGTAAGATCTAGAGGGATGGGTGACTATACTGAAAGAGTGTTTTCTCGACACAACAGGGCATTTGCACATATGAACCTACAGTGTTTGTGACAGCGTGCAGCACGTTCCCAAGTCAGAAAAAATCCTAGCATGGGGTAGGGGGTGAGCAAGAAGCCCCAGTTCTAGCAGAACTACTGACAACAGACAGCTGCTGGGAGAGGGAGAGGCAGTTTTCTTTAAGGGTGTGTGGCCCCTGGTCGGCTGGCCATGTACTAGGGGATGGCTACATCCAAGAGTATCGGGCAACACAAACTGGATTGTATGGATTTAAAAAAAAAAGAAAAAAAAAGAAAAAGACACGCAGTTGGGTGCATAGGAATAGGGAGGTGGGTGTATGGATCTGAGAGAAGATCGGAAAGGCGTGGATACAATCAAGACACACTGTGTGAAATTCTTAGAGTTAATAAAAATGTTTTTAAATGTGAAAAAGCATGAATGCTATAAAAATGAAACTGCACATATTATGTCACTAAATGTGTCTGTGTACACTGCAGACAAACCACTTTTTAGGAAACAGCCTTCCATGGCTCTGCCCCTTCTCTAGGCTCACCCCCGTCTCATCACCCTTAGGATATCTGCTTTGGTGTAATATCTCTTTCCAAGAATCTGAACACTTGGAGAAGAGCAACTGAGAATACTGATTTAAAACCAATAGACGCAGGGCTAGCAATAATATTAAGTAGATCAGAAGGGTGGAAGTGGGACTTGCCATTAGTAAGTGCCAGGGAGCATTTGCACAAGACCAACATGGGCTTTTTAAGGACCTTGTGCTCGTCTATATCACAAGAGATCTTTGACTCTTACTTTCACCGTCTTTCCTGAAGTCACATTCCAATTCCCTTTTTCCCTTTATCACACATTTCCCAGGCTAGAAGCCTGTATTAACTAAGTCACCCAATTTTTTTCACCTAATCCCCCTTCCAGAAAGATTTCTTCTATTTGACCTTCACAGCTGCCTGAACTGCTGCATAACAACAGATCAGATAGTGAACCCAAAGTCACTATCTCCACAGGGCAGCTAACCAAGAAAGGATCCCAGTACGATAGACATCAGAAGCTACGAGTATGTAACCCCAAATTTCAGGTGCTTCTTTTAAAATGCTCATACTGCGTGTTCCTCCTAGTTTTTTCTTGTGTAAAAGTTAAAAACTGGAAACTCCAAATTAGAAGTGGCAAGAAACATGTATTCTGGCCTAAAGAATAAATTGAGTCTGTGAAGAATTAAAGATGATACACTGTCTACATAGGCCTAACTTACACTATCAAGGACTGAAATACAATATGAACATAAATACTTAATATGTATCAAATGCTTATTCAATGGACCCATAAGTTATCTACGCTGATTCAAATGTATTATTTCATAGAAATTGATGTGCACACAAAAGCAGTTATGTGCTGCTTCATCCCCAGGATTTTCTGAAGTCTATGAGATTGTGTAATCTAAGTCCATGCAAATGGTATGTAGGAAGTCCACAGTGTGCTTGAAAGCAAACAGCTTCCTTTCAAATATTTCTAAATGTTGTCACCTATTTATCAGCAGTGTTATTTGAGTTCTGCTTTTGGTCTCAAAACAGTGCAAGCCCCTGGTGAAAATTCTCAAATCCACATTTTTCAAATGGTTCTCATCAAAATTCAAGTAGGCTCAAACTTTTCTAGTGGGAGCAAAACAAAAGATCTTGAAAGAAGACTGGTTTCTGCACACCCTGCTGTTTTCAAAAGGCCTATTTCACTTCAGCTTTAGTAGTGAAACCATTCCTCACCTCTCCTAAGAGCCTGTAGAAAGTGCTGATCCCTATGCTTTTAAAATCTAAGAATGGAACTGAAATCTTGGTTAGTCATTTCCTTAACACATAGATATATCACAACTATTTCAGGTCATGAAACTAAATTAATAAGAATGCTTAAACCAATGTCATAAAGTACGGACAGAGATACCACTTGATGCAGTGGAAAGTGCAAAATTCAAGCTAAGTAGGAAGCAAGCAAGGTCTCTGGAATGTTCCTTACTAACTTGTAGACAAAAACTTGAAAACCTATTTGAACCTGACAGATGACATTAATGGACATTAATGTAACTAGGCATTAATGAGCAAGAAAGCGATGCTTTCTAAAGAAATATCAATTACAATATTTAAGACCGATTAGAAACCTTTTGTTTTAAAGAAGGAATCAATTATCTTCTTCTTTATTAAAATAAAGTTTACATAAACTATTCAATTATATAAGTGACTTACAATGTATATCCTTGCCATGTCCAAGTCACAGTATCCTATAACAATGAAAGTATTCAAACTGTTAGTCTAGACTGGTATGGTCGCCTATAATCCCAGCAACTGAGAGATGGAGACAAGATGATCAGGAGTTCAAGGTCATTTCTAACTACATAATGAGTTCACAGCCAGCATGGGCTTCATGAGATGCTTTCTCAAAAAAATAAACAAAACAAACAAAACAAAACATCAACAAAACCTTAGTCTAGAGGGAAAAAAATGAAGCTTTGTTTAATATTAGGACTCGCATACATTTTTTTCGGGAACAAAATGAAACTTTAAAAATGAAAATAAGCACGTAACTGTGAGGGTACAATGAACTGACTTGACCTCCTTAACTACGTAGATTTTATATATTTGCAACAAAGATCATCTTACATCTCTATCATTTTATGGAAAATTTTTTTCTTAACATTTAAAAAAATATTATTGTACATGTGCAGCTATTTTTCTCCCCAATACAAGCATATCTGCAAAACTAATTTTCGTACATAAAAATATAAACAAGCTGGGCATCTTGGTGGTGCATACCTTTAATCCCAGCACTCGGGAGGCAGAGGCAGGCAAATCTCTGTGAGTCCAAGGCCAACCTGGTCTACATAGTGAGTTCCAGGCCAGTTGGGGCTACAGGGAGATCCTGTCTCAAAAAGACTAAAAAATTTAAACAAATTAAAAACTAAAATTTAAAAAACCTAGAATATATCAGTTCTCAAAGACTATTTGGGAGAAAAGAGTAAATAAAGTACTGTATAGTGAAAACATCTTAATATATGATAAATTTAAATTTATAGACCAAGCCATGAGTATAAGTTCATAAAGTCTAATTCCTTTTTTAACTATAGATTTTCAATTGAGAAATCAGCCCTTGAACAGAAAGTTGAATTGACCAAGAACTCTTCATCTTAAATAGTATATATAACAATTACATCCTGCCTTTTTACAATTCTTTAGTAAAATCATTCCACAATCAACCCTCATCTCTGGGAAAATGGCTGTATGACTGACATGCAGAAAGTAACAAAGTGACTGCCTGGTACAGAAAGATGATTTCCTGAGTCAACACTGGACTTGAGATAGAATGTCAAATTTTTTATCATAGTTTCTTACTTAATTAAGCTTAGCAAGGGACACACAGCTTTTAAGTACTGAGCCAGTAATTCAAGATCAAGCCTCCCCCATATTTATCCTGCTATTTTCATCCTTGCCCACAGTCGAAGCTGGAAAGGTTTCTTTGTAAGCTTCATAAAAGTCATAAATTTCTACTGTCCAAGTACAATCAGATCCTAAATCAAGGACTTTAATCTCTCCATCACAGAGATAGTCCAGTAGAGGATAAGAAATGTCTTCCTGAAGCTTAATCATTACAAAGAACATTTAGGACTGGCATCACAAATATGTGTCTATCTTGCAAAATTTTTAAAGCCAGATTGTCAGTAGCCTTAATCTGTATGGTGGCTTCTATGACTCACCCACTCAGAGCTATTCAGATATTAAAAGGGGTCCTAGAGAAGGTAGCATTTGGAATACTGTAGTTCTTCCTTACCAGCTTGTTTGGGTATCTCAGAAGGATGGGCTGCACAGGGACTCCTGGGATGAAGGCTCCTAGAACCACATCAAAAATGGGTAACATGGTTTTTATAAGAACAATAGGCTTATAATAAGATATTTACAAATGCTATAAATACAATGATAGCTTAACAGAAGACATAACAGAAACTATGTTAAAGTATTTACCAAAATGAGGAGTTATTAAAAGTAAGATTTAAGCAAAATGTTAAATGCCATACCTAAGCCACTTAAACATGTATCCATTTACTATTTTCTGATTTAAAAAAAAATTTAATTATTTTAAAGTCATTCTTCGATATACATATAATGCTACCACTTATTTTTTAGATTGTTTTCATTTACCAAATATACATTATTCAACAGGATTTAAAAAGCAATGGCAAATTCCACACAGAAAATAAGAACTGAAATGCTTGAAACAAAGCTATCACATTGGCTAGAAATGCACCAGAACTTTGGTGCTGAGGAATCTAGTTGCCAATACAAAAACATCCTAAAGTGTTACAAGCTAAAATGAAGGTTGCATTCAGGGCTGCCTTCCTACTGTGAAAGAGAAAGGAGTGGGCTCTGGGAAAAATGTGCAAACATAAATGATAATAAGGTAGGTTTTCTACTTCATGACGTGAGACCCCAGGTATCTAGGAGGGTTCCTTGGAAGAAAAAGAAAAATGTCAGAAGCTTCTGTGCATACACACACACACACACACACACACACACACACACACACACACACGTACATGCGCGCACACACACGCACACAGACACACACACAAACATACATACAAAGACACATATAGACATACAAAGATAGACACACACACACACACACACACACACAGACATATACACAAACACAATGGACACTAAAAACCAAAGGTTACACCAAAAAAGAAAGCAAAGAAGTAAGTTCTGTGGAATCACAACAATAGAAAACTTTTATTAGAGAAGAAGAAATACTCGGAACAAATGAGTTACACTGTGAATTGTAATTTAATCAATTGAGAAATCAGCCATACTATGTTGTTACAATACATAATTTAATTTATCTCACCTGGTTTAAAAGTAATCAAACAGGAACGATTAGTACAAGTACCTTCTGGGAAAACTAGTATCTTGGGAGAAAAGGAATAAATTTAATATTTCAGTCTAATTAATAGATTACCTCTTTATTTTCCTACGACTTCACCAATTCTGCCAATGCTTAAAAATTGAAATGAAGCAACAGGCTAACACTTGACTCGAATAAAAGCTGAAATCAGATTGTCCCGTTTTCTTCTAAGTGTAGTGTCACCATGAATATAATTAGAAAATAGATTAAAGCTTTGAATAAACAATATTCTTAGTTTATAAAATACGCTGTTTGTTTCTGGGTTTTCACATTCGTTTCTTGATGTTTTTTAAATGATCTGAATAAATCTAAAAGAAGCCATAAAACAAGGTTACGTCCTTAACGAAAAAAATTTGTTACTGTTTTCTCATTAAACAATATTTACTTCCAATCTATATTTCAGGGAGGCCTTGCGAACGAAGGAGGAAATGCGGGCAATGTGTTTTACACTTAGCTGGCTTGTTAGCCTGCGGAATCGAACTTCATAGCTTTTCTCTTTTTAAATCTTGAGCATTTCAGCTTTTAGTATGCCACGTTTTTTTGTTTTTTTTTTTCTCTGTGAAAGACATACTGTGTTCTTACTTTCTCCCCCAAGATAGAGCTTGGTTTTCTGAGGCTTTTAAAATTTAGGTAATTGCCAAGTATGTAAAATAAAGTAAAATCCTATACGCGAAGCAGTTAATAATACACGTTTTGTAATAATTAGAGAGGGAAAATATTATTGGACCAAACTGCTATCCTTACAGATTATTTGCAGAATAAAGATTAATGAGTATGTGTAACTCCATCCTCCAATTTATAAAATGGGCTTCTCGAGACAATCAAATACGATAGCAAATAGTCTTATTCGGGGTAAGTCCAAGCGAATCATAAAATCTCAGGGATGAAAGGGGCAGTAAGAGCGACCTAGCAGTTCTAAATTTTGAACTGATCCCTCAGCATTCTCTCCTCGCCAAGTGGTTACTCAGTCAGTGTCTGAAAAGAATTCCAAATCACACTACTTTACCTCTGGACAGAGAGAAAGTTCTACAAAATGAGAAAAATGTACTGAAATTTACCTATTCAGCTTTATCTCTCGCCTATTAATCCTAGGCATATTTCTTGGATCCAAAGAGAAAAATCCAACCTTCATTTCAAATGCTACTTCAATTGTTTTTAAAGCATTCTTCATATGCTTTATACTATAGAACCTCCCAGGTGGACATATTTTAACATGCTACCATAGGTGGCCAGATCACTGCAGCATTAGCCTGCTAGAGATCATGTGCTTTCATCTGGGCAAGGATAGTAGGATGTTTAATATCAGTTACCTCTGGTTTACTCAGTAAATGTTGCCCTCCTTATCCTAAAAAGGCATTCCAGAGAAGGGGTTATTTTGATAATATGCCTTTTAAACTGAAAGCTCTAAATAAATTTCAGAAAAGATTCAGCAAACACACTGTACTTTTGAGTCAAGTGAGTTAAATTATGTGAAATATGCATAATATGTAATGGAAATTAGAGTTTAAGAATAAATGTTATGATACAAAGTAAAATCAAGGAGCATTATTTGATAAATAACAAGGTTACTTGCAAGGAAGGGGACTTCTTATTGACTATTTTATTAATTCCACACAAATTATGCCAGAGATGCCTGGCATAGGCATCTTGCTCTCTGTGGTCTACAGGCATACAAAAACTCTCCATATACAGGAACGGTGACCGCGCTTTACCTGAGGCCATTCCCCTCCAGATGTTGCTCGCTTCCTTATTTCATTTATTGTGTTTTTTCGGGAATCTGGATCTACACGAGACACTAAAACTGGTTGCACAGCCCGTAACAGTCCTTTAACACAAACAGAAAGTCATAATCAAGTTAATTTTTTTTTTTGGCAAAAGTCACAATGACAATATCATTGGATAATAATTGTGAATCAAATTTTTACAGAAAATGAAAATACTAACAAATCTAAGAGAATAATTTTTTAGAGTCAAATTCAAAGTTTGCTAGTTATATTCTAATTTCAAAAGCAGAGATGGATATTATTTCACTGATTTTACAGAAGTCAGTGGAAAAGAACAGGAAAAGGAGGGAAAAAGCAAGCGAGCTTTTCTCCCTAACAGTGTTCTTCCTTAACTGACGTTAAACCTTTGGAATAAACTTCAAGACTATTTTGTTTGATTCTAGGAAAACCTGGAACGCTAACTTCTTGAGTTCATAGTACACCTGAATAGAGGGCAATTAGGACTCATTTTATCTAAATAGAAGGGTGCCTAACGCATGCAAAATCCTCCAATTGTTTTGCTACACAACTGCTGAGGGAAAAGTCTTCTTTACGCCAAGCATGGCAGTTGCACACTGAACAAAAAGAAGTGTCTTCCGGAACGGCAAAGCTGCAAGCACCACTATTATTTCTCCAGAACAACTAGGCAACATCCGGAGACTTTCACACCCACTCTCTTGTCACTTGATGTTGGCAATAGCCTTGGGACAACCGGGAGCAGTTACTTGGAGACTGATTCCTTAGGGAGAGACTGAAGCATCTGGCAGGAAAAACATTTCACTTGCTTCATTATTTTTTATGGCAGGAAGCACTTATTGTTCCACATCATAATTTTCAAAGGCTTACACAAATGTCCCTCAGGGAAATACAGGGGATAATAATTTAGAAAACAGAGCTAGGAGAAAGGACTTAGTACATTCATCAGCCTAATATCCTGAGGAGAAGTTCATGAAATAGCATGTAACCCATGTTTTTCAGATTCTTTGGTTAAATATCTCTTTTTTGAAAAAAAAAAAAATCAAGCATGTTTAGCATTTGAAATCTGGTTTTCCTGAAGGCATGTAAGAACACAGAGACATAATAATACAGCGATAAAGAGAAGTTTCCTAAATGATGAGGCTATAGATACAGGGAAATGTCTGATCTTTTTTGACAAACCCACTTTTTACATAGAGTAGCTTATTAAAACAAAAGAAAGTATGTTTACAATATTTTAAAGTTCTCTTTTTAGTTGGCCAGGGATGTAGCTCGGTGAGAGACCACTTTTCTAGCATATGCAAGGTCATGGGTTCAATTCCCAGGACTGAAAATAAATGTTTCTTTAAAAAATTATGCATGATTCTTTCAAGTTCAGGCATGTTCATGATAATATTTTATGTTACCTTACAAGTACTTACTGCCAATCAAAGGGGCCTGGGCATTCTCATTTCGAGACACCAGGGACGGCAGCCCAGCCACAACACAGGCAACTCCGTCAAAGAACGTTGAATGAGGGGCAACGACAAAGATCGGTGCTTCCAAAGGACTTGCAATCTTTCCTTTCACAGTAACCATAAATCCCATCGAGAAGAACATGGCACGACCCAGAAACTTCAAAGCCGGCTGAGTAATCTTCCTTTGAAAACAATTACACACAAAAAATTAGCTTTGCTAATTAAAGCTCGCAGTACAACTTTACTCTAAAATACAGTAATAAAACCAAAACATGTCAGAGAATTTCACCTTAGCCAGGCGTGGTGGCACACACCTGTAGTCCCAGCACTTGGGAGGCAGAGGCAGGTGGATCTCTGTGAGTTCAAGGCCTGCCT